GAGGAGGTGCGGGCCCATCTCCGCTGCGTGGCTGAGCAGCCCCCGCTGAAGCTGGACACGTCCTCTGAGGTACTGGTGGCACCCCCTGTCCCCTCCCTGTCCTCTCCCTGTCCTCTCCCTGTCCCCTCCCTGTCCCCTGGGGGAGCAGCCCCTCCATTACACCAGTTCCCAGTGCCCAATACAGCCACCATCCCCACATGTCTGCAGAGGCACCAGGGGCTTAGAGATGGGGGCGATGAGGATGGGCATGGAAATGGGGATGGAGGGAAGGATGGGCATTGGAACGGGAATGGAGGTGGGATGAGGATAGGGATGGGAACAGGAATGAAAATGAGGATGAGAGGAATGGGGATGAGATTAGGGATGGGGATGGGAATGGGAATGGAGATGGGAACAGGAATGAAAATGAGGATTGGGGGAATGGGGATGAGAATAGGGATGGGAATAGAGATGGGGATTGCAACAGGGATGAGGGTGGGCATGAGGATGGGAATTGCCAATGGCATGGGGATGAAGACAAGGATGGGGGATGACCCTGCTCTGCTCTCCCCCTGGTCACCCAGAAGCTGGAGTTCCTGCAGCTCTTCGGCCTCACCACGCAGCAGCAGAAGGAGGAACTGCTGAGCCAGAAGCGGCGCAAGCGCCGGCGGATGCTGCGGGAGCGGAGCCCCTCTCCGCCCACGGTGCAGAACAAGCGCCGCACGCCCTCCCCGCGCCTCCCGCTCTCCACCCGCTACAGCCCCGACGAGATGAACAACAGCCCCAACTTCGAGGAGAAGAAGCGCTTCCTCACCATCTTCAACCTCACGCACATCAGCGCCGAGAAGAGGAAAGGTAACAGCCATGGCCCGCGCACGCTGGGGTTTGGGGGTGCCCTAGGGGACCTGCCTGGGGCCCTGAGCTTGCTCTGCTGAGCAGAGGCTACACTAAACCTCAGCTTCCCATGCCGCAGACAAGGAGAAGCTGGTGGAGATGCTCCAGGCCATGAAGCAGAAGACCACGCCGGCCGCCGTGGTGGTGAAGAGCTCCCCGCGGGACAGCCCCGGTGCCCCCAGCACTGGTAAGCGCCCCGAGTCCTTCCCTGGGTGTTGGGCTGTGGGGCACGGCTTTGCCTCGAGGGGAGCACGGACTCCAGCTGCAGCCAACTGCTCCTCCTCTTCCCAAAGAGCCTCCGGTGCCGCCGCTCCTGCTGGACCTGGATAAACCCGTGGGCATCGCCGTCTCCGTGCCCGAGGTGCCGAAGGCGGCGGAAGCCTCCAGGTTAGAGCAGCTGAGACCCCAGGAGCCAGCCAGGCCCAAGGAGGCGGGCACGGCGCCGGAGAAGCCCCGGCTGAGCGACGGGCACCCCGGGAAGAAGGCTCTGAGCATCCTCAGCTACGTCAGGGGTCCCCTCCCCAAGGACATCCCGGTGCCGCTGTCCCACAGCATGAACGGCAAGAGCAAGCCCTGGGAACCCTTCATTGCCGAGGAATTTGCCCACCAGTTCCATGAGTCGGTGCTGCAGTCCACGCAGAAGGCGCTGCAGAAGCACAAAGGTAACGGGAAGTTGTTGGGAATCGCTGTTTTAAAGCCACTTAAAGAATCACCAGCGGAACCAGGTTTAGGGTAAAACCAGGTAAAACCAGGATTATCACAACAAAGTTCTTTGGCAAGGTTCACTCTACTGTTTATTAGATGGTTAAAGCACTCTGAGCAAACGAAAGTCCAAAGTCAATAAAGAAACCCCCAAATAATTTGTGTGAAGGCTGGAGAAGGGGGAA